GAAAGCAGAGGAGAATTGAAAAGATTGGGTCAAAAGGCCCACTCTTTATTCAAATTTGTATTTTGTAATTTTTGGGCCTAAGCCTTCGTCATTTTATTTATTAATTATTTTGTTAGAATTTAGGACAGGTACGAAGGTGGCAAGAATTGGGCCAAAGGCCCAAAACGAGATTAGGCCCAAGTATTGGCCTAGGCGGACAGAAAACCAGACTTGGGCCCCAAATTTCTCTCTATACTTTATTACTTCATATTTGGTTATCTGTCAATATGTGTTATTAGTTTTAAGGTCACCACAATTTAATTCCCCGAAAGATAGCCATTCTGAACTAATCTTCTAAAATTTAACTAAATACTCGCTTCCTATAAAACATAATCTATCAAAGCGTTTAATTTAGATAATATCTCAATATTTTTCTGAACTATAAAAAAGTTCAAATTTGCAATTCGAGCTAAGTTAAAATTATTTTAGCCAAATAATTAATCGTCGGATAACCACATTAGTGGACATTCTAGGTGCTTTTAAAACCTTCCTAGAATGTTAATAAGAACCTCGAACCCCCTTTTATAAGTTTTCATTAGATGTCTGTTTTAGTCTTATGAAAACAGCAGTTTTCTTGATTTTTCTTAAAAATTAAGTGGCGACTCTAAAATCAACCTTAAAAATATATTTTTAAATAAAACACCAGATACATGTGAATCACACAAAATACATACAGATACATGTATCTAGTGTGATTCGCATGTATCTGAGATACATAACAAATCTCGCGCGCCTCCCTTCTCATCCCGCTCACCTCTCTCTATTTTAGTGTATCTGATAGCAAAAATACATGTATCTAGATGTATTTTTCTGTCACGACCCAGACTGTCGTGATTGGCACCCATACTAACCCTCCGGTGGGAGAAGCGTTACTACAACCCAACTGCCCAAACTAACGAAAACTAAGCATTTAAAGATACGGAAGCAAGTTTAAATGTCTAAAGGAAAAATAGGGAGTTCCCATAAACTCCGAAAGTCTAACAAAACAATTGCGAAAATAATGCCTAGAACCTGAAAGTCAATGTACCAAAACACTTACTAACGTCAAGTCTAAGAAAATGAGTGCAACCTCAAACTAAACATAAGAATATCTAAAGTACTAGTCTCAGTTCAAATAGAAATGGACTAAACATAACGAGAATCATGGCAGCCTGGAAGAATTGGCTCACCCTTGAATTCGATGGATCACTAATCTCCTAAACGAGGTTTGTCAGTAGCTGCCTGAAGATACCCTATACTCAACAAAGAAAGAGCAAGTGCAGTATCAGTACACAACCACAGTGTACTGGTAGGATCACGCGGCTATTCCAATAAGTGAAACATATACAAGTAATCACAACATAATAAAACAGGCATACACCGAACATATACAATATTAGTCATAAATTCATGATCAATGTACAATTCCACATTCTCAATAATACATTTATATGACAAGTCAATGGTCATCTCATGGAACCCATACCCAAACTGTTAGTGTGCCGGATCGTGACACCCGTTCCAAGTTAGTGTGTTGGATCGTGACACCCGTTTCAATATGTATGTTGGTACGTGACATTCAATCCCAGTTAGTGTGTCGGAACGTGACACTCGTTCCATTCAACAAGCCACAATCATAATCACAATGTACATCCTTATAATCATACAATCAAGTGTTGATTCATGGCATACAATCATTCGTTCATACTCATTTACGATTAGTGTGATCAATAGTGCAACATTCGCATGCATACATGCATTATAATGGAGCAATTACTAACATACATCACACAATTATGAAATCACAACCATCACCTACCTCAAACAAAGTTTGAACCCTCATAAGAAACTTGATCCTTCTATTTTCGGATTCTTTTCGCTTTTTTTTTGTCTACAAACAATCAATATAATGCGAGGATCAATAAACGAAGGTCTAATTATCCGGATTATAACAAACTCAATAACCCAAGACCAAACCCATGATCCTAAGGTGCAGCTAAGGCTTTTTTCCACTATCCAATTCAGTCCAAACACCCTCCCCCAATAATTAATAACCAAGAATCTAAGTTCTACGGATCGAAAATGGATTAGGGGAGTAAGAATCTTACCTTTTGCACCAAAAGCAGCGGAAAACAATCAAGAAATAGCCTAGGGTCGTCTCCTAACTCTTAAGAACAAAGTTTGCAGAATAATGACGTTTTTGGGGTTTATTTCCGACTTAAGTCACGTTTGTCTCCCACTACAGCGGTCCCTCCCTGGCGGCTTGCACAGAAACAGAGAGTCGAATTAAGAGTTTCAAATCCCCATTTCACAACACACCTTCATCCCATGACACTCAGAAACTACCCGCTCACGCTAAGATCAGTTTCGGGAGTTCTACTCGCTCGAATTAGATTCCGTAAAGTCGTATGGATTCCTTAACATCTTAGCTATCCACTCATGTAATCAAATCCATTATTAGATATCTCATTCACTACCAGATCTTCCTAGACCTCACTGACTCCGATTTCGTCCAAATCTGGACTAGGCTAGGAATTCTCAAGTTACTACCAAAAAGTTTTCCGGCCCAAAAAAAATTTCCATTAGTTTTTCTATAACGACGGAAACATGTCGTTACATTTTCTTTATATATGGTAGAGATTTTTTAATTAGTGATAATATACGTAACATTTTGAAAGGATAAATACTAATAATATATACGATAGTGATTATATGTGTGTGTAGTTTCTCCCATTTCGGTATATCTTTGTAGAAGTCCCATTTGCCATTTCTTGCTCAAAATTAGCTTTAGGCCCAATGTTAAAGCCCAATCAACATCCCGTCAACATAGCATCTACAGACTCAGCTTTTTACCAGAGTTTCTCTGCTTCACAATCTTGGTAAGGCAAGTATCCCCATAAACGAAAAGCTTCCACTTTACCTACAGAGAGAAAACGATGAAGCTCTCACTGAAACTCCAAGAGCAATCTCAAACCCAGAATCACCAAAAACAATCACAAACTCACCCACTTCTCCTCCGTGCCAAAATCCCCATTTCCATTTTCAATCTTCCTTTCCTTTCTTGCTTTTCCACCACCACCCACCACCCTTCTGATCTCTCGCTTTCTCTTGCCACCAATTTCCCTTCTGGACCTACCCTTAAACTCGCCTACTCCACTGCATCAACCCCCACCACTCCCAGCTCCACTACCCCAATCGCCCCTCCTTTAACTCTGATGCTCAAATCTGGAATTGGGGTTTTTGGGTCGCCCAAGAACTCACCTTTAGTCATTTCTGCTAACTTTTCCTTCTCCCCTTTGAATTCTAATCAAAATCCCACTTTTACCCTTCTCTTCAAACCCCAATTGGGTTCCTTTTCGCTTCGTAAAAGCACTACTTCTGATCTGAATTCTAGTTCGAGTGCTGTGGGTAAGCAGAATGGTGATGGGAATTCATTTGGTTTTGTTCCTTTGGAGAGGCCATCGAGTTTTAAGGAATTCTCGATGGAGGATTATGCGAAAGATTCTGTCTTTAAGGGGATTGCTGTAATGGCGAAGACGGAAATGCCTTTGACTAATAAGGTTATGATGGATTGTCGTTGGGGTGTGAATTTCCCCAAGGATTTGGGAAGCAGGATGCCGTTTTTAAGTGTGAATAAGATCGGGATTAAGAGAGTTGAGGAAGTTAAGGAGTTGAAGGAGAAGAAGGATGAGAATTCAGGCGAAACGGAGTTGCTGAAAGGTATGTGTTTTTGGATGAAAAACGAGTTGGAGATGCTGCAGAGAGAGAATAGAGAGATGAAACATAGGTTGGAGGAAATGAAGATGGGGAATGGTGTTAGGAAGGGTGTTGGCGAGGCAGAGTTTGTAGGTGTGCAGGTGATTGAGAATTCAGGGGGATTTGAGCAGTGGAGGAATAAGAGGAATAGTGGGGGAGAGAATCCGAAGAAAGAGGTGAAGAAGAACTCCTCCAACGGGAATCGAGCTAGTGATGTTGAGAGTGAGTTGCAGAAAGCTATTAGGGCTGCTTCTTCATCATGAGGTTCGAACTGTCTGCTAATTTCCTCGAGTAAATAGTTAAAGAATACTTTCTTTCTTAGTATGCAATGTATATATGAATGAGCTTGCTGTAACATAAGTGTGATACCTCTCTCCTTAAGGAGGGTTAGATTGATGAAGAATTTGAAGTTCTACTTCTCCAGACTATAGAGAAGGCTTCAGGTCCTCCCTCGCGAGCATTCTAATGTTAGCTTATCTTTATTCCTTTATCTAACTGGGAAATTATTGTTCAAGTAGTGTTTGGAATAGTTTATAGATTTCAATTGCTTTGCAACTGAAACTTGTTCTTTGCACTATAGTTCTATTTCAGAATCGGACAAGAGAATGAGGAACACAATAGGAAATGTTGAGCTTCATTTTCTTTTATTCCTTACTGGAAAGCAATCTTACATTATAATTAATGTTTCCTTACCTTGCATTTAAGTAATTTCTCTGCGAAATGCAGATAGCATCTCTTTTCTCATTTTGTAATAAATAGAGATGACTATGATTTGTTCAAAGAATAAATAGGGATGACTGTGATTTGCTTCTTTGATCATTCAGTTTATCAGTTACATAAAGCTTTCATCATGTTTATGTTTCTATCAACAAAAAGTAATACCTTGCCCTTTCAATAGCAAAGAAGATTAGGAGTTTCATTTCTGGCTTATATGTACTATGTTAATGCAACAAAGATACTTCATAGCAGGTTGTTTTTGGTAAATATGGTCTCTCTGTGGTACTTCATTTCCCTTAGCCGCTACTAGCTTCCTCCTTTTAATCCTTTTCGACTTTCCCCTTCCCTTGCTCTGTGAATGGGCAGGTGCTAAACTCCATCCGAAGTCTCAAGTAACAGTGGTCAGCCGTCTGGAGCATCCCTTAGCTAATTACATGAGTACATCTCCACCCTACTGAGCAACCAATCTCCACTAGTGGCACCAAATTCCCCTCTCAAATAATTGTTTTTTTTTTAAATTTCCCACCCGGTGTCCGGTACCCACATTGGAGCCCGACTAAATCTGGATTCGGGCCGGGAAGGCCCTCTCAAATAATTGTCATGGTTGATATGTTGTGCATATATGATGGCTCATTGAGAAAAATATGACTCATTATTATGAGTAACGGGAGTTTCAGATGTGCAAAGATTGCAAGAATGATCTTTAAGACTATCCAAATACCAATGCTCAATAGTCAGTACTCAGTACTGTGGAGTAAGGTGTTTACTTTATTTAAATTTAGCACTCATGGCTGCATATTTTTTAAAAGATGAAAGACTGCTAAGCACCTGTGTGTCCATACATATTTTTATTCAAAAAACCGTCTGGTTATACATTTGAAGTTTCATGTTTGAAAAAATGGTTTTGACAAGTTTTTCAAGCGATTTTTTTCCCATTCACAAAGTATCAACTTCTTTTCAAGTTAAATGCATGTCTAAACACAACTCAATTTCCAAATACCTTCTTTTAAAAAAAAATCAAATATGCTGGACCTTTTTCTTCATCTATCTACAAATGATGGGGCAAAGGGGATTGATCCTCTATGAGGGATTGGTTTTGAGGAAGAAATTGCAGATTTCTTAGAGCTAAAAAGGGCTGGATAGATATTGGCATTACAACAGGTCAGACCTGGCAGTTTGTTGGGGCTTGGAAGTGTTCTTTCAGAATTCTGTATATTTCCTCTTCCTCATTTTTATCCACTTCCTCTACCAGAAAAAGGAAGTCTAATCATATTCTTTTGAATTACTTTGGGAACACACAGTTCCTAATTGTCTGACCTATTATGAAAGCTAATCTGGCACCCTAATAGATTTTGTCTAGGGGATCTGCTGCTACCCTTTCTCCTCCTGAATGCTTTTCTTAAGTTTGGCAGGATTGTACTACAGATATACTTGTTTTTTTGTGTATAGCTTGGAAGTAATGCTCCTAAATCTGTAATTTGATCAGCATGAAAGGACCGATTGGTGCACGAAGCATCTTGCATTCACGCAAGGCCTGAGAAAGGGTTGTACCTCAAGGGGTGTGATGTGGCAGCTGGGCTTACCCTTTTGATGATGAACATAATTTCAGGAAATTACTTTATACTTCAGTTGTCGTGAGAATCCTTATTCGACAAGCCCAAGCAACTTAACTTGGAACGTTTACCTCGTCTAACTTTAGGATTTGGCAGCCACATATTTTCTTGGATACAAGTATTGCACTATTGTTGCTATGATACTCTTTGTGAAAGTATATCAACATTATGTACTATCTGGATATGCTTCTCTATTCTACATGAGGGAGGCATCATGCCGCTCAATTGCACCGTGTTTCTCTTCTTCAATTATCGGCAGCCTCTTCAACCTTTATCCTCTTTGTATCTGACACAAGGTTCTCATTCCCTATGTCCATGTGCTAAGATGGTTTACGTGTGGATGTGAGTATATCTGTCTTTTGCTGTGGCTGTAGAAAATGGTGTATTTATCTAGTCATCTAGGAAGGGGCTTTGAAGGATGTACCAATATATAACTTTATGACCTTGGAAACCATGTTCTTATAATACCAGTAGGAAAATTCATCATTTAAGATCTGACTGATTAGAGATTAGTAAAAGATCGTTAAATTAGAGATGATTGCAAGTTGATCAGTTTTACGAGTCTGTCATAGTTTATTGACATCTTGAATTTCTTGCAATGCATGGGTGCCGGATGCTTTCCTTAATATGGCTTTGCAACAGGGATAATCCATGCCTACTTATTTCTGTGCCCGAAAACCCTTTCCAACATTTATTGGGCACTTCTGAGATGTAGTGACTAAATGAGTTTTATGTGAATTGCTAAGTGAGGCTTGCTCGGAAAGACTCTCTTTGATCATGAAATCGCGTATTCATGGTTCGATTCTTGCTTAAAAGAAACCAAACTGATTAACATCTGTGAGAAAATGGTCTAACCTCCCCCCCCCCCCCCAAA